TAATTTGAAACGGAGGGAGTACTTGTTTAAGAGTTTTTTTTTTGCTTGACCAAGACTATAATTTATTATTTTATTACTGATTTTTCCTTGAGACAAAACATAATTTTCCATCTTGTCAAAGATAACTAATTTTGAGTTGAACGTCTTACAATTTTATTTCATGCTCATTGTGTACTTATATATTTTATGATAATTTTTCGATGTGTGTAAAAATTATTGTAGTGCTGTGCATAACTTATAACCACAAGAAACACTACTCATGATGGCTCATGTAAATTGCATATTTTAGACCTTTAACCAAAAAAAAGTAAATTGCATATTTTGTAATATCATAAAAGTTTCTTCTTTAAGCTCGACAATGATTTAAATACAATAACATGTCACATAATTGAGAAATGGAAAGGAAAACAAAAATTGACCGACAACAAGATATTGGTCAAGAGGAATGCAATAATTGAACCATTATCATTAGTAAGTACACAGTGTAATACCCGCAGAAAATATCACACCACCTACTCTTAGGGGTGATAAAGTAACTTAACATATTATCGAGACAAGGGGACCAGGTTACATGAAATAGTGGAGATGAAGCGTACAAGGGGATCATGCACAAACAATCACCAAAGCGTACCCTATGCGCCTATGACCATAGCCGACATCTCATACTCACATGTTATAATTATTTTTGTTAAAAGATCTGAGTGTACGAGTGTCTTAGTGTGTATATATTTTGTTAAAGAAGGACGACAGTGTATTATGCGGTAAACAAAGTTTTTTTTTTTTTTTTTGTTAAAGGGTTTGCGGTAAACAAAGTTTAGCTTAAAGAAAAAAAAAAGAACAAAGTTTTGTTCGTTCCCTTTAGCAATATATATCTCAATAGCAAATTAAATAGTTATAAATCAAGAATTTGCGGACTTAAAACAAACAAAAAAAAAATTAGCGGACTGTAAGGATTTTATCACAAATCTGATTTTTCGAAAACAATTAAATCAAAAATAAAAACATGCACCCGAATTACAAAAGTTTATTTTTAGTGTACAACAAGTCGGTGAACGTGACAAGTTGACAACTTCACCAGAAAGATAATCTCCATTCCATTCCACCCTAACATACTTTTTCAAGTTTTTTTTTTGTTTGTCATGGAATTACAAATGGGAAAAGTATTGCAAAAATTACTAAACAAAAGTTTATATATATTCGGAAAGGTAAAAAACTAAACAAAAGTTTTACCTCAAGAAATATTTTATCATAGCTAAAGTCATATAGATCACTTGATTGTGTTGTCTAAATCAATTTTCCGTTAAATGATGCTTTTGTTTGATATGATGTTCTTACGTAAGGAATGGTAGTAAAAATATTGTATACACTTTAAAAGTTACAATAATTGGATTTTTTTTCCAACTAACCAGTAATATATAGCGAAAAAATCACTTTCTAACTGTTCTAAGAAAATAAGACTATAATGTTATGTATTCTCATACCTACTTTCATACATCATATTTCATACATAATTTGTAATTTAACCTTTTAAAACGTTTAAAACATCACACCCATACAGTAACTTGTTTGTTTCTTTGATTGGTAGCATTTTATTTCTAAAAGCAAAATATGCTACCAATCAAGCCGAAAGTAGACGTGCAACAGTATAGAATCAAACCTGTATCACTAAAGGAGGCCATGCTCCATTCATTACGCAATGCTATATTGAATTATTAAATGGGCAAACACGAAAAGATGATTTAAAAAAGAAAATAGAGAGCTCATGATGGATGGTCATGGACTTTGCTGTTTTAAGGGAAGAACAAGTATCGTATGATTGTTAAGACTTCTTCTGTCGGCGCGTGAAGCGACAAATCGACACTCGCGTGTATGGGAGTCACGTGGTTCGACGCCTCTCACTGGCTCGTATCGTATGAGTATCATATTAGGCTAGGCCCACATGAGTTTTTGTTTTCGACAACTTTTACATCTTAATCGGTCCAAAAATCCAAACCAGTGTTTACATTAATAAACATCGGAAAGAAGATTTGCAATTATTGGAGTAATAAACATCGAAAAGAAGATTTTGTACACTTCGTGCTAGTTTATCCCTTTTATGTGAATTTCTTTTCTTATTTGTTCTTCTCTTCCTCTCTTCTTTGTTTTTTCTTTATTCCAAACCTAAAAATATATGTACTACCCTATATTTCAAGTATTATACTCCTTCTGTCCCATTATATAAGCTGTTTAAGGTAAAACACAAAAACCAATACAATTAGTTTTTAAAAGTAAAGTATTAACTCAACCAATCATGGAAAAGGACTACAAAATATAATTGGACACACAACATTCAATAAAGTAAAAAATGCATTGGTTTTAGAAAACAGCTTATAATTTAGGACAAATTTTTTTTCCAAAACAGCTTATAATATGGAACAGAGGGAGTAGTAGACTTTAGATGAGTTGTAGTTGTAGCTTTTAATTTTTGACCTTAAAATTTAGGTTGTAGTTTTTTGTTATAGTTCTAAATTTTAGAATTGTATGATTTTTAACATTAGATATTGTGTCAGTAAAGAAAGAATGCGATGAAGTCGTGAAAATAATAAGAAAAGAGGATAAATAGAACTCTCAAAACTCTCAAATTTTGGCTAAGAAAAATCTGCTTTCTAGAGCGAAAATGATTTTGTTTTAAATTGTGGGTTTTTTGAACAAATTAGCAAGTTTAAAATTGTGTTTATGAGTTTTTAAAAGAAAGCTAAAATTTGATTGATTTAACTAGTGATGTAAAGAGAAGAAATGTTATTTGGAGTACTCAAAACACTTACTAATAATCCTATAAAATCTTGAAATATGAAAATTATTGTGTTATTTTTGTTATCATTTCATGAAATTAAAATAATTATATATTGTTTTGTTAACTTAACAAATTATGCAAAACTCTATGGATAATCATTTAACAAACTATTAACAGTGTTCCCATCACCGTTATTGTCACCACCATTTGTAAATTGAAAAGTTCTTTTCACAAAATAAGTGTAACTTAGGTAAAATAATGCCGGAAAAGTTTACTGCCAAAAAGAATTAGTGAGGGTACAACTTGAGAATAGATCCAGAAAAAGAGAGAATCTATCTCTCTTATAAAGTGAGAGAGCTTCATATTTGAAAGAGTGAAAATTGTGGGAAGAGAAGAAGAAGCTTCATCATAGTCTAAGGCAGTGAATGGTGAGAGTGGAAAAAAGGTGGTCGACACACGTAAGTAGGGAGAACCACAAAGTTATTCCTATTCATAATAATTGCAAATTTTTAAGACCTTGAATAGAAGCACGGAACAAAGCGGTTCATGCACTTAGACGGAGGGACTGTTTATGTGTTCTCATTCAACATTTTTAGAGCACATGCATTGGTGAATCTAGGGCTGAGTTCCTTAAAAATAAAAGAAAAATAATTTTCGAAAAAAAAATCATGATTTAAAAAATGGGGCTTTTCACTTTTTGACTACAAATTGTGGTCAAATGCAAAACTAACCTCTACAATTTTCTATTTTGAATTTGTCCAATTTTTTCCAATTATTTTTGGAATGCTATTAGTTTTTCGATTAGTAGACCACTACTGAGGTCTACGAGATCTACCTAAACACCAAACAACCCTCATCTTCTACACTTAATTTCCAAAATGACATATCATGAATATTGTCAACCACCATTTTCACCAATTTGGAATTCTTAATGCTCCAAAAACTCACTTTCTTGCTAGCATTGCTCCTTCTTTCATCTCATAAGCTCTTATTCTTCCATTTTCTCTCCATTTTATACCAACTCTATAAGAAAACTCAAATCTTGGATCTTAGGATTTCTGATTGTTTAGCTTAAGGTGACGACTGGAGTTCGTTATTGAAGGCTTAAATCGAAGTTCTCATCCCTCGAAGAGCCTTCCTTTGACGGCCAAGTAACTTTTCTTTCGAAATTCTAAGAATTTCAGTTTTGGTCTGCGAAGGTAGACCTCATTGGAGGTCTATTATTACATAGTAAACCTCAGTTGAAGTCTACTTGTCAACGCAGAGTAGACCGCACTATTTCCTTTGCAAACAAAAAAAATAGTCATAGACCTCCACTGAGGTCTACTCCACGTGGAGATTAGTTTCACAATTGATCGAGGAAAATCTTTTTATTTCGAGGTCTACGTTGGAGGTTTACTACACGTGGAGGTTAATTTTGCAATTGATTGAATATAAACTTTTTGTGGAGGTCTACAGCTAAGGTCTACCTACAAAATAAAAGTTAGTTTCGCAGTTGACAAAAGTTTGACTTTCCTCAAAAAGGAGAGATTTTCGACATTGAGGTCTACCATTCAGGTTTACGGTGCATGTAGACCTTAGGTGAGGTCTACAGGCCAACGCAAAAATTGAGGTCTACCATCGAATTCTACTAAATGAAAGTCAAACTTGGGTCAACTGCAAAAGTAACCATTTTGAGGTCCACTTTTTGGGGTAGACTTACAATGTAGACATTGTGATGCTCCGTTGACCGATTCAAAGATCTACCAATCAAAACGAGGTCTACCGCATAAAAAGTCAAAGTTTGGTCAATGCAAAACTAATCTCCACGTGTAGTAGACCTCCAACATAGACCTCCCACAAAAAGATTTTTCTCGATCAGTTGGAAAACTAACCTCCACGTGGAGTAGACCTCCGTAGAAATCTACGTTATAGGCTTATTCGCGGTCTACTAAGTAGGTCTACTTATTAGGTCTATTATTATGTGTTTTTTGTATGTCGTTTTTCCAGTCAATATATCAAATATTTTGAAAGTTTTTATGAACAGTTGGTTGTTTTTACTTGTTTACTTGCTTATGTATGAGTTTCAAATGTGTTTTCGGCGTAATTAAGGCTCTATTCGGTTTTCTTTTCAATTATTTAAACAAGCTTACTTTCCTGGTAGACCGAAGTGGAGGTCTAAACGTTTGGTATACGCGTTCTATCTACTGATCCGCTTATGTTGTCTTGTTTGTTTTTGTTGCAGAAAATGGTTTGTTTAGCTTCCGTTTATGAAAAATGGCTGATGATGGAAGACAAGTCATGGCATTTTGAGATGGATAAAGGAAAAGGAGGGTGAATGTTCTACTTGTGAAATGGTGATATGCCTCTGTTTTACATGGTTTTTCTATGGTTTTCTAATGGTTTTCTAGTGGATTCTTGTCTTAAAAAGTAGTTTTTATGGATTTATACTGCAAGAGTCATTTTAGGTCAAAATGTGCATTATGGAGTAAAATACAGGAAAATGACTTCATACCATTTCCACTGCCACAACATATACTTTAAGAAGAGCTTAAAAATAATATACTCAATGGATTTCATCAAGACTAGTTCCCTGCGTATCATGAGTGAGTTAAATTTAGTGAAGACTGAGTAGAAACAGAGTTTTGATCAATTTAGTGAAGACTGGTCCACACGGCTTAGCGCAGCAGCGCCCAAAACTGCGCGCACCGACCGACCGAGGAACTATCATCCTACGATCGACCTGTGCAGAACACGACATCCGTCCCGTCTAGTGCACGGACGAGCGCTCGTATCGACCCGGGAAGCATCCCCCCGTGGTCGACCCATTATAGTCCCACGACTATGTGCCGTGCACAACCGCACCGCGCGAACCGGGAAGCATCGTCCCGTGTTTGTCCCAACCGCGCACCACGACCCGTGTCCCACCGTCCGACCAGGAAGACACCTTCCCGCGTCTGGCCAGAACGTTCAACCAATATCATCCGCCCGGCCGAACCCGACGACTGAACGAGAATTCCCTCCGCCACGATCAACCCGATCGTACTGATGGCCGATCACAGCCCGACTCTCGGCCAAACGTCCCGATCAACCTTCTGAACGACCCGGTCGACCCGAAGTCGATTTTAAAGCCCGTTTTACACGAATTGAAGCCCAATTACTTGGCCGGCTTAATAGACCTAGGTCTAGCCGCTCTTCAATACTTAAAGCAGTATAAATACAACCTTTTTAGCCTCGTAACTCAAAAAGGAGAGAGACCACGATTTACTTTACATATTTATTAAAGTTTTGCTTGTTCTTTGCTTTACTTTTCTTTTGCTTGTTCTCTTTCTAGAGAGGATCTCTGTTCTTATGAATATGAATTCGATTTCCTTCTCTATGTCTGAGTAAACTACTCATTAAGTGATAGCAAATCAAAGGATAGCACTCATCATTGCTTAATGATTGATTACTTGAATTAGGGTTTTACATATACTCTTCACCTTTACTTGTGTGCAAAACTTGTTGTTGATCTGGCCAATTAACATATGATCAGATGTAGACTTGAGCAACGAAAGTGTTGAATCATTCGCCTGAATTAGTATTTGGTGGGCAACCTCTTTTAGACTGCGAAAGTTGATTTACTTGTAGGTTGTGAACAATCGAACTTAATCGAATTAATACTTGATTTAATCATCTAGGGACATAACAAAAGTTTAGCGACTAGATAAATTAACAAATGGGTCGAAGCCAGGACAGTGGAAAGATCATACCTTAGAGTTTTGAGTTCTAGATGGTACCCAATATCAATAACCTTAATCAATCGAATCGTGCTTCTTGAATTGTTTATCTAGAGATTATCCTATTGTTTAGCTGCTTTCTCCTATTAATTTCACTCCTCTTTTCACTCGCATGCCTTTGCTTTGTTTACTTTTACTGCAATCAACCAACTTCATATTGTTTTCCCTAGCTCGGTCTCAATCTTATAGTTTGTAGTGTGCAATCTGGTCCTCATATTCGATACCCGTTTACTACTTTTGATTTGTGCACTTGCAGAATCAGGGATAGGAAAAGGGAAGACATGATCCCGCGATCAAATGGTTGTACACATGAGGAGTTTATTAGAATGGTACAAGCTGACTACATGTTGGATATGGAACCGAGAACACTTACATTTTGTCTTTTTTTTTTTTTTTGCACGTATCCATTTTTTATTAAAAAGAATGGAAAATCATAATAATTATTCTGTTAAATATATACTTGAAATTAATTTATATGCATGTTTATTTCAAATGATGATTTTGAAAATAGAATTATAAAATAGCCTAATTTAATTATTTTAATTAACAAAATAAAATAATAATTTTCTATCTCATATAGTTATTAAAAATATGTACATTGTTTTGGATCGCTTTATATACGCTTTTTCTATTCAAATATATTTTTGAACCGTTAGATTAGCTTGATCCGCTCGATCCGTTAGTTTCACTTTTGTTATGATCGATCGCTTGATTCTCAATGCTTGATCCACTTTCTCCATTCAGAGCCTAAGAAGATGAAAAGACACGCTGCCGCCTGCCGGTGAAGGACAACACCAGCATTAACCACCACCGGAGAAAGGATAAAATAAAAAAGATGATGACTTTTTTACATAGATAAAAAATAGTGAATCAGGTCAAAACGGAAAATATGGTATGTACTATTCATGTCAAAAATATGGTTTTATTGTAGATAAATTTTAAGAAATACATCTCTTTAGTGTTAATTTTGAAAAATACATTTTTTCTAAATCTAACATATATGTTTGGGTTCACTAATTCTATACTAAGGTTTAGATTTTAGGATTTAGGGTTTATATTTAGGATTGAAAGATTAGATTTTAGGATTTAAAGTTTATATTTTAGGGTTTAACGTTCTTTTATTTCATGAAAAAATTATAAATTTGAAAATTAACATCACATATGTGTAGTTTTGAAAATTGATACACCAAAAGTGTGGGTGCAAAGAACCACAGTCAAAATTTGTATGTTTTGCAAGGAAGAAATTTAGGGAGATTTAGGTATAGATTTTTGATGTAAGTCGAATGAATCGTAACAAGGATTTGTCGAAATGTAGTTTGTATTAATCAATGAAAAATGTTACAAGAAATCTCGGAAGAGAGAAGAACCAATTCTCAAGGAAAAATACAAGATGAATCAGAAAGAAGAATGTAGTTTCTTGATCCGAATTGACGACATTCTCCTTTTATAGCTCCAAAAGCAGCTATGAACCTCCTTCGCGCATCTCGCCAGGTGCAGCTAACGATCACGGTGATCTCGGATTAGACCGGATTTGAATAAGATCTTCTTTGACTTCGTCTTTCTTCGTCACGATGACATGGTCCTTTGACTTACGATATATTTATTCTATACCTTTTAGAAAAATTGCAAAATGATTTTCTTTGTTCTTTTTACTAACCAATTAGATGACAACTTTTACTATTATTTACTAATTTATTGTATAACACATTGAACTACAAATAAACGCAACGTATCAATTACTTTTGTTACTCAAGTAAAGGCCCAAACTATTTAATTCTGAATACATATATACATAAAAGAATCGTGGTTTGATTTAAGACGCAAACATATGTGATGTATATACAAGGCAATGTCATATATTGTCGATGTAATGTATATTGTCTACCAAAATTTTCGTGACGTTTTTTTTTTTTGACGAAATATTTTGTTTTCATGTTTCCTAGAATGATTTCTGTGTTTAAATCGGAAATTTGTATTAATATTTTTTGTTTTAATATACAAGGTGGTTGTTCCCGCACCTTGTGCGTACAATATTTTTTAAATACAATTATTAATTAAAGATTTTCTATAATTACAACTTTTTATTGTATTCATCGTTTTTGTTTTCGCAAACTTCTTATTTTTGTAATCTTGATGTCTTATTTTTATCTTTTCTTTTTTCTTCTTTTTCACTTTTCTTTTCTTTTACTTATGTATCTATTATGTCTTGTTTGTGTCTTGCATATCACCTACCAATTCATTTCGATAGTTAAAATTTTCAATATTTTTGAAATAGATTCTATCTTTATATAGTTGAGGTCTTTTAAAAATTTATTAGTTTTGTTATCTTTCAATTCTGGATTTTCTTTAGTTGTTTTAGTTTTTTTTTCTATTTGTGAATGTAATTTTGAAAGTAGATATAAATTTCAAATAAATGATTTTTTTATTATGAAATTCTTCTGTAATAATTCAAGTTTTTTTAAAATACACCAAAAACTAAACCCTACCCCATCAATATAAACCCTACACCCTAAACCCAAACCCACAGTGTAACACCACCCCCTAAATAACCCAAACCCCACATTGTAACACCACTACCAAATAACAACCCCTCCCCCCCCAATCCGCACACCTAAACCCACATTTTACAAAATCTTTTTAGATAAGTTTATTCAAATTAGGGTTTCATAAGATTTAAGTTGAAAATAAAAACGAAAGATGTACATACCACTAATTTTTGTCAATGCATTTTTTTTGAGTTGGTACCATAGTTGATTTCTTTGACTCAATTAGCTAACAAACCTGGAATTTACTGTTATAAAGGTAAAAGAAGTAGAAGTTAGATGCGATTCTTTGAATAAAATTTCCAGAAAATAACGAATAATCAGTTAAACATTAGATCTAATACAACTAAGATCTAGCAATAACTATAAACCTACATGACAAAAGATGAAATATGGAATCGAAGAATTTAGAACACGAAAAAGAAGAAACGAAATTCTGTTTATTTTGCTTGTTAAATAGGACTAAGTCGGTTGTAAAATCTAGAGTTTTTTTAAAATACCTAATTATTTGATTTCTTCCAGAAAAGTGGTGCGGTAATATGATAGTTAGGATATTTATTTAAGTGATAAATATAAATCGAGGAAAAAAGAAAAGGATAATTATCAATATTTAATAAGGAAATTAATAAGGAAATAATGAACTTTTATATAAAAAACGAAATTGTGAAATAATTAAAAAAGGAAATTCAGAAGATTTAATAATAGATTTTCATTAAGGGCATCTTGGTAATTCCGCGGCTGAGAGTTAACGTGGTGACTCCATTCACGAAAATCATTTGCAAATACTAATATGATGTATGCATCGTTTCTGATCCGAACATTGTCACTGCACATGCAAAAACAATCATTTTAAGCGATAAAGAAAAAAGAAGAAGGAAACTTCTTTCAAAATCTGGCTCGTATACGACCGACCATTGTCATCTCCACATACAAAAAAAAAGGGTTTCTGGAAATTAATCCTTCAAGTGGTTTTTATTTGCAAATTTACCCTCGACTCTAGAAAAATGCATATCAACCCATCAAGTTCGAATTAACCCGCAATATAACCTGCATATTTAATAAAAATTATTTAAAAAACATCGTTTATAAATAACAAAGGAAATTGAAAATCTTTTTGGTTTTCATAGCCACGTGTTAGGCTTTGAGTTGGAGACCAAAAAGTCTAGTGTGGTCAAACAAGTGAGATAGAACCGAACTAGGGTTTTTCCATCTTCTTTTTTGAATTGAAGAGAATCTTTGACTCCTTTATTTAAAAAATAGAAAAAAAAAATTAATTTCAAATATCTAATGTAGATAAAAACACTTGTTTAAGTTAATGATCATGTATTCACTTTAATTTTGTAATCATATATATAGAATAAATTAACTCAAACATAATACTTTTAATAAACTTGGTCTGTGGATACAAAAAAAAACTAGTTTCAATACATGTAATAAACTTATCTGTGAATACCAAAAAAAAAAAATTTAACTTTTTATTTTTAGATAGGGTTATATTGCGGGTTAATTTAAATTTTATGGGTTGATATACATTTTTCTAGAGTCGAAGGTAAATTTGCAAACAAAAACCACTTGAAGGGTTAATTTACAGAAAACCCAAAAAAAAAACAACGATTATAATTGGACCCACATTGATTATGTAAATCAGATGGACGAAAAGTTTGTATATCTGGATCCAATCAGATTGATCCAATTCATATTTGATGGTTGTCAAAGCATATAGCTGGATTAAGTGGGGCCGACTGACTGTAAGAGATTTCTTAACCGTACGATCTCATCTCGACTTTTGTTTTTCTGCAGGTTTACAATCGTGGCCGTCCCCCTTTTTTTTTTTTTTTTTTCAGTTTGTGGATCATATCTTCTTTTAGGGTGTCACTGGGACATTCACTGTTAATGCAGTATTAATATCCTTTTAAGGATTTGAAGGGAAGAAAAATCTTGTTGCAACTAAGAGAAGGACCAATATTGATGCTGATCTTTATGATACAGTATCATATAGTCATGACTCATAATAAATGTTAGATTATTCAGTGGCTATTTTCTAAATATCTAACTGTGCCAATGTAAAATGGTTAAATGATTTTTTATACTCCCTCCGTTTCAAATTAGTTGTCGTTTTGGCAAAATGTATCTGCAAATATTTGGACGTATCTGGACGTGTTTTGCATTGCAGATACATCCAAATAATTGCAGATACATTTTCCCAAAACGACAACTAATTTGCAACGGAGGGAGTACTTATGTTTCAGGTGATTTAAAAATTATTAAATGATTTCCCATTACAAGTTTACAACATCTAATAATAATGCTTAATGCACGATGTTATAAACTGTAGGGAATTGTAAAAGTTGATTGAAGCTTTATCAAAAAAAGTTGATTGAAGCCTCTCTTTTTTTTTCTTTTTTTTTTTTTTTTTTTTTTTTTTTTTTAACCTACTGAAGCATGTTTAGTAAAAAACTGAAGTAATGTCAGGTGTTAAAATTTAAAGGGGAAATTTTCAAAACTACACATTTTTGGTGTATATTTCAAAATTACATCTATAAGGTGTCTATTTTCAAAACTACATTTTTTTCATTAAGTAAAACAACTCTAAACCCTGAATCCTAAAATGTAACTTTAAATCCTTAAATCTAAAACATAAACCCTAAAATCTAAACCTAATTAGGGATTAGTAAACTTAAACATAGATATTAAATCTAAAAAATTGTAATTTTGAAAATTAACATCGTAGAGATATATGTTCTGATTGTGGCTGCCAAAACTTTAGAGTTTTTAACAGCTTTTACAGCCCTTTTATATTCAATGAGGCTGTTGTGGCTTAAATTTTTTCTAAAGCCTTAAAAGTCTTTTTTACAGTTTTTTTAATATCTTTCTTTGGTTTTAGTTGTGAACTTCAAAAACATTGTTAAATTGCTATCGATTCATATCTATATTATTATGGTAAAGTGGTTAGTACTAAAAAAAAAAAAAACATTTAAAGCTATGCCTTAGTTTTTTCTTAATCTTTTTGATAAAACTCTACAACATCATACTATTAAGAATAAAGGAACTTGATGGAGGAGTTACCCTGTTGGTCAAGGCTAGGGATCGACTCCTCTCAAACACGAAATTGCTAGATTTATCTCATTTGGCCACATGGATATGAGCTCTTACTTTTGGTCTATTTGAATATCCGGAGAGAAAGTCTATACGTGGACTGCACCTCTCCCATGATTATTAGTCCAAGTTTCTGTATAGATTTGGGATTTACCCTGAATTATAAAAAATAGGATTTTTTATCTGAATATTTTTGTATTTTGATGAAACTAAGATAAATACCACCGCACAGACAAACATTTAGGGCATATGATGATTACACTCTCATCATCATTATTATAAAACTATCATAGGCTATGATTCATAGTTTTTGTATTATTTCGTGGTCTAGAATACTGTTTTTGGTCATTAATAAGTGGTTCAACGACAAAAGTAAAACTCATTCGGTCGACCCATGCGTTAGAACAAGAAACTCTGAAAAGAAGTTTGAATTGAATTCAACCGTTTTTATTTGGCTTTCATTAGTTTTTTTAATCAGTGATGCTTAAAAGTAGAAAAGCTTGTTTAAAACTATTAACAAAATTCAAAAGCGACAAAAAGTAAAAGGTTTAAAAGTGTGCAACAAGCGTGACTCTTGGCCTTTAGAGCCATTAAGAAGTGGTAAATCATTTTTAACACTTTCTCGACAATAGCAATCAATAGGATAGATTTGCATTATCATTTCGACTATTTGTTTAAAAAAAAAATTTAAATTAAAGTCAAATCGTAGCAAACACTTCACAAATTCCAAGAGAAATTATTGAAGTTTCACTAATTTTGTTGCAGATAGTAATATAAAAAGTTGTCCAGTTACGTTTTAGATAGAATTTGTAAAATTTTCTGACTAGTTCATATCCTTTTTTTTTTTTTTTTTTTTTTGGTTCTTATCTAGGTTGCATGGAAATTTTGTCGGAGGTTTGTTCCTGTTTTGAAGATATTTTCGAAATAGAAACTCTTAGAAATTTGTCGGAAACTCGGTTTTCACGTTTTCTAAAATATCTATTTGGAAACTTGATCGTTTCCATTTTAGAAACTTGACGAAATTTTATTTTTTATTTTCAGAAACATCAAACTAAATAGTTATAAAAAATAAAAAAATAATAGTAAATGATTAATTTGGTTCTATTAATTTAGTTAATGATCAATTTAATTCATTGGATGAGATTAGTGTAAGCATTGTAAAGTTTGAGTAAGAATTAATGATAGTTTTAGTTGATATAGCTCATAAAAATGATGATGAATTTTATTTTAACATGCAACTAAGATGTTTTTATCTTTTAGTTAAACTATTTTATATTTATGTAACATATTTGTGTTGATTAAAAAAATATTTAATATATTTTATAACATATGATATAAATATATAATATACATGTTTCCAAAATGTTTCCAATCATATATTTTTCAAAATAGATGTTTCATCTTTTTGAAATGTTTTGCTTCCGCGTTTTCATTTCCGTTTCTATATAAGATATTTCTAATTTTCTCATATAAATAACTCCTACAATCATTTAAAAATAAAATAAAATATAAAACTAATTAATTAGATTTTATTCTCGGCACATTAATTTATTAATTAAGCAGAATAGATGTCCAGCTCTAAATATCCTTACTTTATAAAAAAAAGCCTCTAAATATCCTTAAAAAAGAGCTATTATTAGTGATAGTTTGATATCATCTTTGACTGAAAATTATATTAATAAATTATTAACATAATCGTGACTATAATTATTATTTTATTATATTTCTTAGATTTGATGATTTGCTTGGGCTGAAAGAGTTAGAGGGGGACAAATAACCAGAGTTTTTGATTATAAAATTATTCATATGTATTAAAGCTCAATAATTAATTGGCAAACATAATAATAAATTATTTTCCCCCAGCTAGTGCACACTCATGATTGGAAAAAAAAAAGAAGAAAACTCATTAATTAAAAAACATCAATCTCTCTCTCTACCTCTATATTAACCATTCTGCTTCCTTGCTTGCCATTCATCTTCTCTCTCTCTCTCTAAAGAAAAGCAGAGAACTTTGGTGCGAAACAGAGTCCAAGAAAAGTCTTCAATTTCTTACCTGAGAAAATTTATCAGAAAAAACCCGAAGATGATGTTGGAGAAAGACGAGCTGGGTCTAAGCTTAGGCTTGAATATTCCCACTAAACAGATGAATCTCAAATCCAGTCCTTCTGTTTCCGTTACTCCATCTTCTTCTTCTTTTGGACTACTCCGAAGATCTTCCTTGAACGAGAGTTTTAATTCTTCAGGTACGTCATATCTTTCTAGGTTCCTCTGTATTAATTTTCCCCAGAAAAAAAAACAGAGATCTTTACTTTTTTTTTGTGTGCAAATGATCTTTACTCTTAATCCTTTTTTTTAAAAAAGAGTCCAAACCGAACTCTCCTTTTATAAGGTCTCAGCTGTTATGTTATCCATTTTATGCATGCAGTTCCAAACTCAGATTCCTGTCGTACAGAAACAAGAACGTTCTTCCGTGGAATCGATGTGAACAGACCACCGTCTACGGCGGAATACGGCGACGAAGAAGCCGGAGTATCTTCACCTAACAGCACAGTCTCAAGCTCCACCGGAAAAAGGAGCGAGCGAGAAGAAGATACAGATCCGCAAGGCTCAAGAGGAGGAATCAGTGACGATGAAGACGGTGATAATTCGAGGAAGAAGCTTAGACTCTCAAAAGATCAATCTGCTATTCTCGAAGAGACCTTCAAGGATCACAGTACTCTTAATCCCGTAAGTTTTTCCTCTTTTCTTATTTTCCCACCCCTAAAAAAAATTAGTTTTATTGTTTTTGGTCAGTCAATTTTTTTTTGTAAAATGGCATTTTCGTTAATTTAGACTGAGTCAAGGTTGTTTGAAAACTACTTTTTCAGAAGCAGAAGCAAGCTTTGGCTAAGCAATTAGGCTTAAGAGCTAGACAAGTGGAAGTTTGGTTTCAGAACAGACGAGCAAGGTAAATAAAAAACACACACAGACAGATCTCTCAAGTTTGGTTTGTTGGTTTGCTTATAAGGGTATTTTCGTAATTTTAAACAGAACGAAACTGAAGCAGACCGAGGTGGACTGCGAGTTTCTACGGCGATGCTGCGAGAATCTAACGGAAGAGAACCGTCGGCTTCAGAAAGAAGTAACGGAGTTAAGGTCACTTAAGCTCTCTCCTCAGTTCTACATGCACATGAATCCACCCACCACTTTGACCATGTGCCCTTCGTGCGAACACGTGTCGGTCCCACCACCACCACCACATCAGGCTGCCACGTCAGCGAATCACCACCGGTCGTTGCAGGTCAATGCGTGGGCTCCTGCTACGAGGGTTTCTCACGGCTTGACGTTTGACGCTCTTCGTCCTCGGTCCTAGTCTTTTTTAGTTTGCAATCAAAGGGCATTTCGGTCGTTTTATTACTCAGATTCAGAGATGCATGTAGTTGAAATTTTTAAACATGTATGTATTTTTTTAGAAAGGAAAACAAAAACAGATTATCCTATTATTTTTCTCGACTAGACCAATATATATATGTTCATCATGCTAACAAAGTAACAAGTACAATATAACTCAAGTTTACAGGCAATTATTTGATATTATCATACAAAAAAGGGAGAATTTCCACATATAACCCGAAATTTGCTTTTTTTCTATAACCATAACCCGAAACTTGAAAGTATTGCAAAACTAACCTGTTTGGGTAGCGAAATTACAAAGGTCACCCTCATGAACAAACAAAAAAAATTTGCCGCGATTACCAAATTAACCCGGAGCGTAGGTCTACGCTTGCTGTCTACATATAGACTTTTATAGTCGGTCTACCTTGTATTTTAATTTTATATTTTAATTGGGAAAAACAAAAAAAACATTTTGATGAAACCATTTGCATACATAAATCATAAATAGTAATTTGCATCTTGGAAAATTATAATTGCATACAAATGAGTCAAATTAAACTAACATAGGCAAATTAGTTTGGAAAGCTGTAAAAACGTAAGAGGTCTACGGATGAGGTCTACGGTTTAATTAAATGAAACTTTTAATTTATAAAATAAATAGAAAATATTTAGATGAAAAATTTGTATTCATAAACAAGACAAAGACAATTAGAGTCCATATAAAATAAACATACATGTTAATAAGTGAATTTAGGTTGACAAAAACAAATTAGGTTAGAAACTTGTAAAACCGTGAGAGGTCTAGCAACGAGGTCTACAGGAAAATGAAATCTTAAAAATAATTTTTAAAATTGATAAAAAATAATTTGATAAAAAACTTGTATGCATAATTAATTCTTATACATTTGACATCTATTGAAAATAAATTATACGAAAAATGAATCAGTCTATAAATGTCATGAGTAAATGTTTCAAATTGATAAGAGTTTGGATAGATAGTTTAGGGTTTAGTTGTCCAATTCTTAGGGTTTAGATAGTTTCAATTTGTATTTTTGTTTTTGGTTGGTTTTTTTGTCTATATTTAATTGTTTTGTTATCCAAACCATAAATATTGTAAATGGCAAACAAAATTTGATATTTGGTTCATGTTTTTTATAAAATTTGTGGTTTAGGGTTATGTAGACCTCAGTTGTAGACCGCGAAAACAAACAAATGCGGGAATTTCAAAATTTTTAAAAGAACCGAGCGGGAATTATGAGCGCGAACCAAAATTTCAAATATCTTAGACCGCAGTACTAGACCGCAGCTCCCTCGGGTGTATAAATAGAGATGTAAACCCTAATTTTAATTTTCTAGAAATAAATTATTTGGCTTCCGCCGCTCATCCTTCCGCCGCTCATCCTCCGGCCGCTGTTCTCATCCGTCTTCTTTGCCGCCGTCGACAGTATCAAGTGTTCCGGCGATCGTATTGGTTAGGTTTGCTTCTATTTCATTTTGTGGGTGAGATCTGGTCATTGAATAATTACTGTTTTTTAAAATAACTGATATCTTCTCATCGTACACAGGAATGGGGCGCTTTAGCTGGTTAACGGAGGGTTCGAGTAGCTCTGACCAGCTGGCTACTCGAAGCTCTGCTAGGGTAGTCAGTAAGGACGAAGAAGATGTGAGTTCTCATACCAGTCGAGATATAAGCTATGGAATACCGAGCAGATGCTACTGCGGTTTGTTAACTCCGCTGAAAATGATGGACCATACGGACGAGCATCCAGGGCGGATGTTTTTTGGATGCAAGAATTATAAGGTAATGTTAACTGTAAATAGTTTTCGACATCTTAAGTGGCTTTGTTTTACCAAAAATATTGAAGAGATTCGTTTTTTTCATCATTGTAGCTTGGTTTCCCACATCTTATGAAATGGTGGGACGAGGCTATGATGGAGGAGTTTCTACAACTCAAATGGGCCGTCGACAACCCTCGTTTTGGCTTTCGCCAACCTGAATCTGAAGAACGCGAAACCTTGCTTCGGACTGAGGCAGAGTTAACTGATGTGAAGAACCAAGTTCTGAAGATGAAGCGTTTAAGAAGAGTCGAGGTGACGACGGCGGTTACTGTAATTGCCGTGCTTGTCTGTCTCATTAGCTACTTTGTGTTTGGTTGTTGAATGTAGCTATGTTGTGTTTGGTTGATGAATGTAGCTATTCGGGTTGAAACACTTAATTTGGTTGTGCGTATTGCAAATCATCGTATTCCTAATCAGAGACCTCTTACGTAGAACTCCAAATAGACCTCATACGTAAACCTCAGACGTAGACCTCAAACGTAGACCTCAAACGTATACACTGTGATTGAGACCTCTAAACACTAATTTAACCGTTAGGACTATAAAGTTGGGAATAAAGTTATATGAAAAGAGGAAACCGTAATTTAACCGTAAACACTAAGAAATCAGAAAAGATAAACCCAAATCGAATGGAAAAATTAGTCGAGTATAGTTAAACCGATTCAGTTAATTCGAACCGAAGAAAACCAAGTTAAACCATTTAACCGACATATATATACGGAAAACCGCTGTGGTAAGCCTCATTCGTAACCCTAATCTGTGTCTGACCTTTCGCTCTCCGCTAGAGGCGATTTCGTTGTCTCCGCCGAATACACAACCGCCGTCTCCGCCGATTACACAACCCGCTGTCTCCGCCGATTACACAACCCGCTGTCTCCGCCGCTTACAGAACCCGCTGCCGCCGGTAAGTTCTTCATTCTAGTGAAATTCTAACTACTTTAAGTTTATTTCCCACTGAGAGTTCTTTGGCCTTTGCATGTGGTGGTTTAATCCGTAATCCTTACTCCTTACTCCGCCGCGGTCTAATCCTTAATACTTCACCCCGTAAGTCTCGTTTCCGACATTGATTTCACGGGTAATTTTGATTGAAAAATTGCTATTATTACGAAACTCGATATGGTAATACTCCTTCTGTTTAAAAAACTGTATCAGGTTTCCAGATCTTCGTTGGCGTTAGGCGTTGGGATTTCGCGAACAACAGGTATCTTAAAACCGTTTTTTAATGTTGTATCGTAGACCGCTGTCGTAGCCCTCAGTGATAGCCCTCAGTCATAGCCATCATACTTAGACTGTAGTTGATAAGTAAATGTAGACCTCGAGCTTAGACCTCCTTGGTAGACCTCAACTGATTGGACTTAATAGCTTCTACTCTTTTTGTAGGATGTCAAAGCCGACATTCCCCAGGAGATTCTACACCAAAGGAGGCGATCCGGACGCAGGGAAAAGCATTTCCAGGTGTAGCAAGAACACCAAGCTCTTCGATAGTCTCCGAAAGCTCCTCACCGACGACGAATGGAATGAAATCAGTGACTCCAGGATTGGTATCTTCCTAAAGTTCCGTGACCTTCAATTCGAGTGGGCTTCACGGATTGCGCATGCCATGCTCTGTTTCCAGGTTGTATGCAAGAAGAAGTATGAGATATGGAGCGCTGTGGGGGCAAATCCGATAAGATTTTCATTGCACGAGTTCTCAGCCATCACCGGCCTCAACTGCGAGTATGTTGAGAACCTAGAGACACCTGATGCTCCAGCAACGGATGCCGTGTGCGAGTTCTGGGAGAGGTTGGGTGTCAACGTCGAGGTAGGGCCTAGCATTGACCAGCTGGCTGAAGCTTGTGAGTGGGCAGGCGAGTGGCCAAGGGAGGATAAGCTTAGATTGGGCTACCTAGCCATATACGCAGGCTTCATTCAGGCCCGTAGATCCGCTGCCGAGACACCTGTCAAGCTAGCTAGGCTTGTGTTGGATTTGGAGAAGTTTGAGGAATACCCGTGGGGCCGAGTTTGTTTCTTGCAGCTCATCAAGTCCATTAAAGGAGTGGATTTGGAGAAGTCGGGTTATGTGCTGGAGGGTTTCATCGAGGTTCTCCAAATTTGGGCTTTTGAGAGCATGCCGAATTTTGCAGAGAAATACGGTGCTCCTCTGCCATCTAAACCATCACCACCGCTCCTTGCGTACAAGGGTATTCAAGGCAAAAGGTACATCGCGGAGGCAATGCTGAAGCAGGTAAACATAAATCTGAGAATCGAGTACTTGCTGGCAAGTAGTAGTTAGTAGATAGACCTGGACTCATTTTGTTTTGTTTTTGCAGGTTGTTTTTAAAAACTGTGAGCTAGTCGATAGGGAAGAAGTTTATCCACGCTGGGATGATGATGTAGAAGATTTGTACGTCGACAACCTCATCAAGGCAATCTACGGGGAGTTAGGTGGTCGGTGGAGGTGGAAGCCAAGCGACTGGGACGAGGAAGGTGTCTTGGTCTCCAATCACCCGCGAGTGGACGTGAAGCCTCCAATAAAAGTGGAGGCTAGTTTCACAGATTCGAAGAAGAGACCTCGTCCTACTCCTCCATCGAACTATGATGATATCGAGGAGACGATGCAGAGGTTGATTTCTGACTGCACCCGGACCTTGTCTGCTGATCTGAAGGCAGGGTTCCAGATGTATGACCGGCAACTAGCTGCACTTACCTCGACAGTTGCTGGTCTGGAGCGTAGTGTGAAGCAGCTGATGGATGTAAGGCTTCAGGAGCAGCGTAGATCCGACGATCCCTCTCCCAAAAAAGATGAAACCGGCGCCAAAGAAGATGTGACCGGCGCCAAAGAAGCTAAAACTGCTCAACCGGTTAGTACTGATCCCTCTCCCAAATCTCCCAACTCTTCTAAAGTGCAAGATAAGCGTAAAGTGCAAGTTAAGCGTAAAGTGCAACTTAAGCCTGACCAGGATAGGGTCCTTCGACCTAGAAAATTGAAGACCAAGTAGAGCCCAATCCGTTGTTTTTTTCAATCTATAAACACAAACTTGTCACGTTTTTCTTTCCTTGCAAATCATGTGTGTAATTTTAATGAACCTGTTTACTTGACTTACAATAAATGTTCCGAGAGTGTTTGTGCCTATTTGTTGTGGTCTGAATTGTTTTTCAAACTCAAATTGTCCTCAAATGCAGAACCAAAACGCCGGTCCATCAAACAGTGCTAACCGGGACGACAGCAGCGTCGCATATGTTAAGACCTATGTGCCAAGCAAAGAAGAATGCCTAGCAGACATCAGGAAGAATCAGCGAAAGTTCAACGCGAAACTAATGAGTATCAGGGCTAAGGATCAGAGGGAAAGGAAACTGGCCCCATCTCAAAAGTCTCCGTTCGTGGGAAACGTTACGGTTAAGGAGCTCATACGTAACAAGAAGCAGCGCTTAGCGGTCTACAATCCGTATCTGCCCGAAGACAAGAATGTTCGGAAGGAACTAACGGCGTTCCTGAAGTCTACAGCGTAAGTAACCCTCTGGAAAACTTCTTTATAATTCCGATTATTGTGATTAGTATACTAATTACACACTTTTGCTTTAGTGGGTATCCAAAGCTTGACAAGGATAAGTTTCCCGTGTGGTATTGGTGGTGGGAACTCATTACGCAGCCGCAATGGCTATCGGACTCGGTAAGCATTAGTACACCATTTAGAGAGGTCTATGTTTAGACCGCATGAGTAGACCTCTGTCATAATTCTCTTTTGTAGACCGCATATTGAGGTTTAGTGTAATTGTAATGCAATATTCAATCTTTTTCTTTTCATCAGCACATGGACGCGGTCATCAATCTGCTGCGGCTCAGAATGAAAGAACAACCGCACAGCTTTAGAAGTGACAGGCTTTGTCTCATCGATAGTGGTCTTAGTCTGTTTTGGACGGCAAAGTATGACGATTTCAAGAAGTCTGAGCCTAATGTCTTTGGACTTGGGAAGTACCTCCCACCTGACTCACTTGACTACTTCCAAGGCACGAAACCAGAATTCTGCCAGACGAATAAACGATGGTGCAGGGACATTGACGACCTATATCTCCCGTTTAACATTGGGAAGAACCACTGGGTTGCTCTATTCATCTCCTTACCGAAGAGGCACATCACGATCTGGGATAGTTATCCCTGCCGTATGGACGATGAAGAACTGGCGACGGAGGTGGAACCCGTGGCTGTGATGATGGCGTACATGTTACGCGAGATGGCACTGGTGGAAGAACGTGACAACTATCCGTTCGATAAATTTACTCACGAACGGGTTGCTGGTGTGCCGGAGCAAAAGGGTCCCGGGGATTGCGGTGTCTACTGTCTGAAATACATCGAGTGTCACGCAACTGGAAACGATTTTTCAGCCTCTTCACTGTGCAACAAGAACGTCAAGGCAATTCGGAGTAGGTATGCTTGTGACATTTTCAAGGAGACCGATTGCAAGGGACCGAGGATCCGTGACTGGGACGGTCTTGATCCTTTCGACGGGAGATGCTGATCTAACTTTAGTAACGGCTTCAGGGTGGGTTAATTTTATTGTGCCCCTCTACTAACGGTGAAAGGGAGGGTTTATATTTTTTGAGGCCCCTCTTGACAACATTGATCTCACCTTTTGTATAACTATTTCGGATGTATCTATTCGGACTCGCATTAAGCAATGAAATGAAATCCGTCTTTAGTATTAGGGCTTGTCTCGAACAAGGAAATCATCACTTAGTATTAAACAATAATAATGATCAAATAGTACGAAAGCAATAATAGACCGCCAGAGAACATCTCGTAGACCTCCACGAATGTATAAGCAGATCGCGAGATAACGTCTAGTAGGCATCGTAAACCTCCACTGAATTTCCGTTAAAGCCTCGTAGACCTCCAGAGAAGCTACGTGAAAGCCTCGTAGACCTCCGGAAGACCGCTCGTAGACCGCCGAGTTTACTTCTCAGCAGGCTTGGACACCTAGTGAAGAGCAAACAAATTACAGAGGTTGTGTAATGAAAACTAATGGAATGCGGGACGCACGAAGCTTACACAATACGGGCGCGTATGTCCTGGTTGCTTGCATTTGGAGCAGCTGTAAACTTTGGGCTTCTTCCTTCGACTCTTGCCTTTCTTCTTAGACTTCCTAGAAATTTCCAGCCACGACTGCCATCTTGATTTCTTCTTACGACCAGGCCCATCCTTCGGTTTTGGAGGTCGGCACCGCTCGCTCTTCTTCTTGTGGTTGTCAATTTCCTCCTCAGGATATATAGGATGGGCGTAGGTCGCATACAAGCATTCCTGCGAGTATGTGTCACATGTATGGTGTGAGACGTGCACACCAGCTGAGGCAAGCGCTGCAAGGACATGTGTACAGGGCATTTTCTCGACTTGGAACACTCCACACTCACATTTACCCTGTTCTAGATCAACTACATAGTGCGAACGTCCAGAAGCAACATGGAAACTAGTTGCATCTATCCGCTGAACATCCATTGACTGAGCGTAATGTTCACGGATGGCCAGTATATACTCAACTCCCTTGCTGTATGGTGTCTGCAGATTTAAAGCATCTTCACGCCTTTTGTAGAACCACCGCCCTAACATCTCTCTAATAAACTGGAGTAGAGAGGGTATGGGAAAACCCTTTGCCTTTTTAATAGCCGAGTTGATAGATTCAGCAATGTTGCTACTGAGCGTAATGTTCACGGATGGCCAGTATATACTCAACTCCCTTGCTGTATGGTGTCTGCAGACTTAAAGCATCTTCACGCCTTTTGTAGAACCACCGCCCTAACATCTCTCTAATAAACTGGAGTAGAGAGGGTATGGGAAAACCCTTTGCCTTTTTAATAGCCGAGTTGATAGATTCAGCAATGTTGCTCGTCTTGATGTTGTACCTATCACCGGGAAAATGTACTCTAGACCAAAGCTTAGGGTCGGCCAACTCCATGTATGCTGCGAGTTCTGGGTGCGCAGCTCTTAGTGAGTCCATGCACCGATTATATTCAGCTAGAGTGTGGGCATAAGCAGCTCCTTTAACCAGATACATAAGCTCCTTACCACCATATGTCTTGATAATATTTTGCTGAAGATGATAGTAGCATATTCCTCTAGTGACCCATGGAAGCACATTCACACAAGCATTTTCAATGGACAATGCTCTGTCTGAAACAATGACCATCGGATGTGGTGAGAAACAAGACTGCAATTTATCAAAAAACCATCCCCAAGACTCATTAGTCTCGCATCAACAACACCATATGCTAGAGGAAAGAAGGAAGGTTAGCATATCCATCTTCTGGAGTTCCCCTGACAAATACTTGAGCGAATTTGAGAGCCCGGTATGACGTTGTATAGGTAAGATTCAGCCAAACATGATCCTCATCGAATCTGCAATTTGTCGAGGGACAATTCCATCTATGAGTCCAGTCCGCTCCACAAACAATTGTCCAATATATCTTGGAGTAGCTCGTCTACGGTGAGCTACACGGTCCATAATTGAACAAGTGTGACCCTTTACGTACTTGGTAACCCAGAAGCAATCCGGTTCATTCTTCACAGCTGCTCTCAACTTCCATGCACATCCATTGACAACACATTTTGCCACAAACAATCCGTAGTGGACTTGTAGACTTTAAATGCGAATCTTGCCATCACAGCCGTCAGTCGCAACTCAGAAAGAAGGGCTTCTTTAGAGGCATAGCTGTGATTTACCAGAATAGTGTCAGACCAAGTGCCTGTGAACCCTCCATTTCCACCATTCCAAACACCTCTACGGAGCCTTTCACGGAAAGAAACCTCTACGGAGCCTTTCACGGAAAGACAAACTCTCTTCACCCTCTTCCTCATCTTTCACCTTGCCATACTTACTATAATCTGCATCGATATCGTCGGGGTTGTCGACATCATCAGCACTATCATTGTCATGAGTATCATCAGATTCATCTTCTGAATTTACATCCCATGCTTTGTCATTCCAGTTTACATCATCAGACTCGTTATCATCCCAGCCTTCATCACCGAATTCTTCTTCCACGTCTTCTTTATCCACCTCTTCAGACTTTTCTTCTTGGACACACTCATGTATTGGTTCGTTGTAGTTCCTTCCCATACCAACGCGGGTCGAGACGCAAAGACGGACCACATGCTCCTTACATAACTCCACCAAGCTCCCAACTTGTCTGTCGTTCGTCACATACATAGGAGGTGAATCCGTTGGCAATTTCTCCATCATAGCAGCTGGTAATGGATATGACAACTCCAGCAGCTCGCCATTAACTTGCAACATGTAGTCGTTCACAACCATTTCAACCAGCTCTTCATGTTTACAATCATCCTGCAGGTAGAACATTCTACCTCCTCTCGTTTTATCAACCTCAAAATACCATTTTCTGTCTCTGATAGTCCACGCTCCATACACGGATGCCAAACAAACCATGATCTGCATGAAAACCAAAGGGAAAACACATTAATATATATTGATGGATGCCCTGTAGACGGAAACGTTAGACCTCCACACACGGCTGCGGTCTACAGAGTTTAACCAAGTTACCAAATTTAACCAAAAATCTAATACAACCTTCATTACATAACATTAGCATGCAAAACTCTCATAGGGACAAGTTATTAGGCTAATAGAAGTATTTATGAAAAAAATTAACAAAAACAATTTTAGTTTTCGCAGAAAATCGATTTTAAAAAACGGAAAAAATGTAGACCTCCAAACCAGATCGTAGACGTAAACCTACTAAAGAGGTCTAAAAAAGGTTAGTTTTGCAATTGACCAAGGGAAGACTTTTTTGAGATCTACAAATGCGGTCTACAAAAAAAGAGGTTAGTTTTGCAATTCATCCAAAAAATTTGGGTAGACCTCACGAACAAAATAGACCTCAACCTGTAGTCTAGAAAAATTATACGGTCTACTGGGGAGGTCTACGAAATCTGTAGACCTCAGACAGGTTACTTTTGCAATTGTTTGAAATTTTTTTCCACCTGTAGACCACTATCGTAGACCTCCTATTATTTTGCGTTGACCAACTTTTTAAGGTAGACCTAAGACTGAGATCTAAAACCTATGTAGACCTCTGACGTAGACGTCAGCTTAAATTTGTTGTTATAGACCACATTAAGAGGTCTAAGGTAAAAACCAGAACTTCAGTCAATTGCAAAACTAACCTCTTTGACCAATAGACCTCATCTGTAGACCTCAAAAAAAAAGCCCTCCCTTGGTCAATTGCAAAACTAACCTGTTTTCAAAATAGACCTCTGCTTGAGGTTTACGATATTTTTTTTGTTTTCAAAGGGATTATTAGAACTCTCTACGCGGTCTAACTCCACAGATTTGTCTTAGTCAATTGCAAAACTAACCTATGCGTTGACCTATAGACCTAACCCTGAGATCTACGATATCGACTCAGATCTGAAAAAACGAAAATGGAGTAAACCACAACCTGGCCGTCGTCTTTAGGGCCGCCGAGGGATGAAACTTTGTCTTTAAGCCTTCACAACCGTTCGGCGGTGGTGAGGAAAGCCACAAACCCGATTTTGAGAAAATCAAGAACTTGAAATATGAAAAGTAGAATTAGAGAGTTTTTGGGATGAAAATGTGGAGAAAATGATAGTGTTAGAATGTAAGGGATGTAGAATTATGTTTGGAGTATTTCACAACTAATAGTATGAAGCATTAAAAGCTTGGAGTTGGTTGAAAATGGTGGTTGAGTTCATTGATGAGAGTGGCAGTTTCGTTAATAAGTGTAGAGGATGAGGTTCAGTTGGTCTTCTGGCGGATATCGTAGACCTCAGCCGTAGACCACCGGCCAAAAAAGTAATGGCATTTTCGTTATTATCTGGAAAAACCAGGGTGAAGCTAAAATGAAAAAAACAGCAGGTTACTTTTGCCATTGACTTCAAATTGTGGGTTAGAAGTGCAAGAATCCCTAAAAAAAAAAAATATTTGAAATTATCACTTGATATAATTTCTTTTGTTTTATTGCAATAATTATTTTGCACAACTATCATAATCATTTTTTCCTTTGAAGAATAATACTAGTTTTAAGTTAACAACTAGTGCATGTCTAGCGACAAAGACAAACAAAAAAGGAAAAGGTCTAGCGACAAACCAAGCAGTAAAATTGAATAGTTAAAAATTTTAAGTATCCAGCAAATGTTTTTCTGTCTTCAAAAGAATCTGCCAAGGCTTTATTAAAATAAAAATAACTCTTTGTATAAGAATTAAAAAATTTGGCTATTTGGTTACAGTATACAAGTCACAAACTTACAACTAAAGATTTTTAGCCAAAAAAGGTTATACGGAAGAGGAGATTACCATATAGAGACATTTGTTGTCCTAACATGAGAATGGGCCGAATTTAGGCCTTATTGAGCGTGAAGGACTCATGGCCAGTTCTTAACGTAAGAAATACCTAAATTGGCCATTTAGTCTTAGCCTTCATGCACCGACAATGGAGAAGACAACAAAAATGTTGGTACGTTGAAGTTGATGCTAAATTTTGTAGTTTCACTTGTTTAAGGTGGTTGGTGCATTGCCTCGGTGGTATGAAATGGTTGCGAATCGCTTTGTAATTTTGTCTTTATCTTTTGATTGGTGACAGTTTCCGTTGGTTATTGCCTTATTGGTTTAATGTTTACTATGTTCTTTTAGCGCATTAGCGGTAAGTGTGATAGAAGTATAAAACTACCCAAAAGTGAAAAGTCTAGCTGAAAATTACAAAACAACGATTATATGGAATTACAATGTAATCTAGATATAAGAGTGTGCGATCGTAACCCCAGATTCCTCACCGAAATTCTCTCGCTCGTGTGTATAGAATCAATCGAAGAAGTACGAAGAAAACATAAAAGAAAGGAGCACACGGATTTAGTAACCCAAGAGTTCGTTTCCTACTCTCCTGGGGCACGGTTTCTACCGGCAATAATCCACTAGAACTTAGCTCGAAGCTTGATCTATGGATCGTCTTCTTCCTCTGTGCCTTATCTCTCTTTTCTCTCACCCGATCTGTTACAACGATAAACTTCAGATCTTATCTTGGGTTCTCTCTCTCCTACTTCGACTTTATGACTAGCCGGTACAAGGATCTACCCAAATGTGACTTGACCGACACATTGATTCTCGGTTACGCCTAAACCGGCCAACCCAACTTAAAACGATCTAAGGCACAAAGGAAGATACAAATTCACATGAGATTCAGAACATTAACCTTCAAATCTCCACTTGTTCTGCATCTCGTGTGACGTCCTAGTGGATAAAGATGAGCTTCAAATCACCTCTCATCTTCTTAGAACATAAAATTGTTCTGAATAACTCTTAGCTCCTGGAAACTTGAACCTCCCAGCTTCTGAGCAAACTCGCTCAGCCTTTAATAACTTAAGTCAGGCTTCTCCTCAGTGCTCTTGATCCTGAGCAGCTCCAAGGCTTCTTGAAACTTGCCCACTGGAAGAACTTTGGTGAAGATGTCTGCAAGATTGTACTCAGTAGCGATCTTCAATACTCGAATTTTGCCCTTTGAGATCAAATCACGGATGAAATGGAACTTGACATCGATGTGCTTTGTTCTCTCGTGGTGTACTGCATTTTTCGCCAATGCTATTGCACTCTGAGAGTCGCAATGAATCTCTACTGCTTCCTGCTCGAATCCTAACTCATTCATCAAACCCTTAAGCCATACCGCTTCCTTAGTTGCTTCTGCCAACGCAACGTACTCAGCTTCTGTTATAGACAAAGCTACAATCTTCTGTAGATTGGATTTCCAGCTGATTGTGTTACCTCCCAGGGTAAACACTATGCCTGAGATTGACCTCCTCTTGTCCAAGTCAGCTGCATAGTATGCGTCGCAGTATCCTCTGAGTGTGAACTCTCCTTCGTTGGTGTAACTCAGCTTGGTTGAAGCAGCCCCCTTCAAGTACCGTAAGACCCATTTCACACCTAACCAGTGTTCCTTAATAGGTCTACTCATAAACCTGCACACCAAGCCTACAGCATACGCCAAGTCAGGCCGTGTGCTGATGCGGAGTCAGGTTTTACCAAACTCCTAGACCTCTGCAAGTGCACAGATCGCGGAAGTATGGGTATCGAACACAAGGACTGGCTATTGAGTACACTTTGAACTATGGATTTTGGATCAAGCTAAAACAAAAGTATGATTGAGGTTGTAATGGTGAACCGAACTAGCAAGTATAACGAGGTTGTAAATCAATAAAGGAAAAGCGCTAGGTCATAGGGGCTATCGCAGAGAAGCAAGCAATGATCAATGAAACAATGATAGATTGAATTGATTAGGGATATTGGGATATTAAGAACCATCTAGAACACAGATCACGAATATAAAACCATTCCACTTTCGAGGCTCCGGCTCCTTTGCTAATCTACCTAGTCGCTAAACTTTTGGTATGTCCCTAGGTGATTAGATCAAGCATTAGAATGAATAGGTTCTGATACAGTTCACTAGATATAGATAGATCAACTTTCGCAGTCTAAGAAACCTAGCTTGTCAAAGAATATGTCCGGCGAATGATACAGCACTGTCGAGGCTCAAATCAACCTAAGATCGGATTACTAGATGCGCGGTAAAGCAATCAGCATTAGTTAAGTGCACAAGACGAGACAAAGACTCTAATATAATCCCTAGCTAATCATTGAAATCAAAGATCATGCAAGCAACTCATTGAATAGTAACCCTAGCAACCTAACTAGTGGATTACTCAGACATGATCAAAGCAAACACACATAGAGATGAAGAAAACATGATTGCAATAAAACTTAGAGTAGGAAATCGAAATACAAGGGCGGCTCTCTTTCTCAAGAGGCTAAAAATCCATATATATAGTGCTAGGTCTTTCTAGAGGCGGCTTAGGGTTAAGCCGGGCTTGAAAACATAAGTTTGGGCTTCAAAAGGGCTTCGGGTCGACCGCGGCGTTGGGACGGTCGGTCGGGACGATCGGCCGGACATCGGGTCGTGGGCGAGTCGGAACGGTCGGGGTCGGACGGATTCGGGTCGGCCGGCGTGGTCGACGGATGAGATTTGGCCGATGAGAATTCTCGGCCGGACGTGGGACGTTCTTCCCGGCTCGGACGGATGCATCGGCCGTGGTACGCGGAAGGGTTGCGCGGCCGCGAGGCTTGTTTCCCGGCTCGCGCGCTTTGGTCGTGCGCGGCGTGGCGTGGAGCGTTTGGCTTGGCCGACCGCGGGACAATGTTTCCCGGGTCGTGTGCGTGATCGGCCGATCGGTTTGGACTTTGGCCGAGACTTCAGTCGGACGGACGTGATTTGGCCGAGCGCGGAACATGTTTCTCGGCCAGCCGGACTGCGCGGTTTGGGCGCTGATTCTCTCGATAGAGCCGTCTGGACAGTCTTCACTCTTTTGGTTGTAACTCCTTTTCTACTCATCCAAATGAGGCCATTCCAGTTGCGTTGGAAAGTTAACTCAATCAGAGCACGCAGGGAACTGGTCTTGATGAAATCCATTGAGTAGATCTTTTTCTGGGCCCTCTTAAAGTTGGTGCTTGTGCATGGAGCGCTTGAAGTGCAAATCCTATGGTTTTGCTCCAAAATGCATCATTTCACCTGTTTAGACTCTAGACACTATAAACACAGTAAAACTACCTTTTTAGATAGAAAACCTGCCAAAAACCATTAGAAAACAATGCTAAAACAGTATAAAAAGTGGGTAAATTAGAGGTATATCAACTCCCCCAGACTTAGATCTTTGCTTGTCCTCAAGCAAAAAGAATCTAAATCCGTGAAAGAGGTTTGAAAACGTGGAAGCTCCCTTGCTCTTTTGAATATCCTGTGAAAGGTTCCTTTCCTGTATTCCACTATGAACATAGACAACATAAGGTTAGCTTCACATACACCCTGCAAGTTTAGCGAACAATACCAACCCAACTAGTCTCATCCAGCAATCCAAACTCTCTATTGCTAACCTCTTGCATAAATTTAAAGCGTGAATTCTTTATCAAGGGGACATCGATCAATTGAACTTGTTCTTACCCACTTGATCCTCTCCAAGATTGCCTCTTTAAGTGCAATGAGTTCTTTTCCTCTCTCTTTCTCACATCAGAACTTTGAAAGGTCAATTTCTCCCTACTTTTCTAGGGTATCATTTTATTTTTTCTATTGACCCTTCTTTCAACCACAGGATAAGTCTTTAGCTTGTTCCTTGTTTGACTAAGGTATTCCATAAGACATGAAGGTACAGACATATGCATTCCTCATGCTTACTTGTTGTCCTTGTGCTCTTTGAGCTTTTTCTCATAACATTACTTACCATTTGGGATGGGAGAGAGAGGAGAACTCTTTAAAGATTAGACAAATCTTATTGAAAATCAAGCAAGGAACTGTCGACATGTATGCCAACCCCCTTGACAAGAGTAATTAAGATTGATTAAGGTGAGGTTAACTCTAGATTGCTTGGTTACCTTAGAAATTTTGCTGAGCTAGCATGTCGATCCACTGTAAGAGCTTCTGTTAGGCTTGTGCCTTTAGCTGGTTTCTGCTCTAGGGTCATGGATTGTTAGCATAACACTCTCAATTCTCAAAGCAAGTTCATAACTTCCGGACTGGTTTTTGACTCAATAAAACTTTTTGAAAAACATGAAACAAAGTGAATAAAACATAAGAAAAGAAAGAAAAATGCATTAGTAACACAATAAAACTCCCCCCAGACTTAACTTGCACCGTCCCGGTGAAAGCAAATCACATTAAGGTGAGAGGTAATATTCAAAGTAAAAGAAAAATAAAGAAAAATTCATTAAAATAAGATAGGGATAGAAAATGGAGATTTGTAAGTGTCCATTGCACTAAGTACCACTTGAGATGACTATGTGTGGCAGTGAGAAGAACTCTCTTCCTCATCTATGGGGTCATCGCCTTCTGAACCAAGCTCTGAGTCTAGTGAGAACTCACCAAGGTCAGGCTCATATGGCTCTCTAGCGGTGGAAGAAGGGCGAAAGAGTCTCTCCGGTGCAATGTGGCGAACTACGCGGACTAGGCGTGAGATGAAGCGAGATTGGCATTCCACTATCTTCTCCAGCTTGTTAACACGGTCTAGAGCTTGGTGCGCAGCCATGCCAGTAGTGAGAACATGGCGTTCTTGGATGCGGCGTTGAGTCTTGACTGCATGCTGAAGTGTGCGATAGGTGAGCATGGGGAATGATGGTTTCTCACTTGATGGAACATAGAACTCTTCCTCATTGGGCTGGAAAGTGACAACTCCTGAGCGTAGGCTTGGGATGTCTCATGTGGCAGCAAGACAAGGGAAGTGTTGGCTGGACCAATTGGAAACTCATAGCAAAACCGAGTTGGGTCTTTAGTCCAACGGTTTAGGAAGTGGATGTGCTGAAGAGCATGGAGATCCAAAGGGGTTGGCTTGGGTAGTGGCTCATAGTTGGGAATGTCAATCCCCACATGCAGTACTATGGCCGTGATAAGCCTCCCAAAACGAACACAAAGCTTCTTGTTGCCTTCCAAGTCTTGAGCTAGCTTCCTCACATTGATGAATGTCTTGGCAAGTAAAAGTCCAAGGTTGGCCTTGTACTCATGCTTGATGAATGGTGTGGTGAGGATGTAGAACTCATCAGTTGTGACCTTGTTGGCTTCTTGTTTGCATTGGAAAGTGGTGGAGATGAGGCGGTGCACATAGCGAATGGCTGGATGAGTGATTCTAGACACCTTTGACCTTGAAGGCAAGAATGGTTCATTGGCAAAGTGTGTCCAATCAGCAAAGGCAGCTTGTTTCCTCTTTGAGTTCTCCTTGAAGTCATGTGCTGTCTCATTGGGAAGTCCAAAGAGTTGGCATAGAGCTGAGATGGATATGCGCCCATTGGCATCGCCTATCTTGAAGAGTAGGAGTCCATCACCAGCTGGTTGGTCTCCATTGTGGTTGGGAAAGGCAAGAGCTACTGTGAGAGGAACTCCTTGGTGAGTTGTGAGTACTCACTACATTCTAGCTTGAAGAGCTTGCTCAAGCCTAGCTTCCTTATGTACCATGTGACATCATCTCTTATCTTGAGAAGATCAAGGGTTTGGGTGTCCATCTTCACACATGGCTCGATGTTCACCTTCTCCATTGCCTTCTTACACTTTCTTGGGTCTTGATTTTGTTCTCCAACAAAGGTTACAAGTGCCCAATCATCTTCTCCTCTTCTTGGACTCTCCACATGTTCTTGATTGCATCAATGGAATGTGGTGAAGTTGGTATTGCTGCTCTTGCATTGGAGCTACTACTCCCTAGCTTGATTTGCTTCTTTGGTGGTTCCATGAATGGGTTCTTCTTCTTCTTCATACTCTCATTTCCTTTTGTCTTTGCCATTGTGTACCTACAAGAGCAAATTCTTGGGAAGAAATATGAGTTTGTGATTAATGCAAAAGAAGAATAAGCTAATTGAGTTGTAATAATGATATGGAATAAAGGAACAACTCAAGGCTTAATCATGAATCAAAGAGACAAAATAGAAATTTCACTTTTTCAAAGTTAATTTTCGGATTTTACTGTTCATCCCAAGATTATGGTGCTTAAAATCAAAATTTTCAGCAAATCAAGAGAAATTGAGTTTCTAATCCAAGTAATCACTAGATAAACTAATGAATTGAAGTATGCCTAAGCAATTTCACCTTTGAATAAGGGGTTTGGAATGCCCAATAAGTTTTGTGAAAAACTATTCAATTGTGAAATTAAACTTCAAATTAACTCTAAACCACCTAGGTTCCACCTAGCAAAGTTCATTACAAGACTATAAGGATGCTAATTTCAAGTCTAGACAAGAGTTTAGACCAAACATGAAACTTATTGAGATTTTCGATCTTGCATAAACATAGGATTAGAGTTAGAAGACATACCTTGTGTGTTGAAAAGTGAATAAGGTTGCAAGAGCAAGTAAATTCCAATTTAGAGTTATGAACAGTAAAAGTTTTGAAATCAAAACTCTTAGAGTTCCTCTAATGGAGTTTAGGGTTTTGGAGAAGAAAGAGAGGTTCTTGTGTTTTCAAGGGAAAGGTGAAGTAAATAAGATCTAATCCTATCAATTTTCCTTTTCAAATTCGAATTTTGATTGAAAACCGGTTTAAGTTGGTTTAGATTGGTTAAAACCGGTTTGAATTAAATGAAAAGGGGACTTACCTTGGCCTAGAAAATTTTGGGCCGATGGCCGATGGATTTGTCGCGGTCGAGCGATTTGGTCGGCCAAATTGTTTGGCGAGAGAATTTCGGCCGAGGCCGAGCGTATGTTTCCCGGATCGACCGGCACGGTCGGTCCGTTCCGATACAAAATTTCGGCCGATCGCGGCCTATCTTCTCCGGTTCGTGCGTGCGAATCCGGCCGAGCACGGCTTTTCCTTCCCGGCTCGACCGTAACGGTCGGCCAGATTGGAATTGCTCGGCCAAAATTCTCTTTTGCGCGTCCGCGGCCAATGTTTTGGCGCGGATTGTGTTTTCACACCTTTTTCTCCTTCTATCCTATCTTAAAACAAAGAAAACACAAAAGCAAAACAAAAACTAAGAAATTTAAAGAAAGAAAAGTAAAAGTACCTCATGGGTTGCCTCCCATGCAGCGCTTGTTTTAAGTCTTTAGCTTGACTGTAAGGCTTGGCACTCAGGAGAAGATGGAGACAAGAGGCATCTTTGATCCTCCAAGTCTTTTCTCCTTGCAATGAGTATCTGGTGGGTGATTCACAGCTGGATAGACAATCTCTCCATGAATGTCCCTTGGCACTACTGCCTTAGGAAAAAGCTTTAGAGTTCTTGTCACTTTCTCCTTGAATCCTTCTAGATTCTCATCAATAAGCTCCTTTGGGAATAGAAGCTTCATGTTGCGGCCAGACCTAGGTTTTCTAACCTTCTTCTTGGCTTGGCCTCATCTTCAATCTTGGTTGATCCCTTGGGCGGTTTTGGTGTAGGGGCCTTAGTCTTACTCCTTGCTTGTTTGGCAAGCTGCTTGGGCTTAGGAATGGGATCTTCCTTGATTGTTTCTTCAGTTTCTCCTTCTTGGGGTGGCTTCAAAGTAGCTTTCTCCTCTTGGACCATGTCAACAAAAGAGTTCTTTGTTGAACACATAGGGAAGAACATACCCTTGTTCACCTTGTTGAAAGAGATTCTTTGATTGGGGAAATCAAATATGGCACCCACAGTAGACAGGAAAGGGGTTCCAAATATGAGAGGTCTATGGCTACTCTCTCTCATTTCCACAATCTGGAAATCAGTGGGGATAGAGCAATTTCCAATCTGCACCATCACATTAGGCACAAAGCCATAGGGGTTTGTGAGAATGAATCAGCATAGTTGATGGAGATGGATGATGGCTCTATCTTGGTGAGGCCTATCTTGTCAGCTATCCTCTTAGACATGATGTTCACATTGGCTCCTGTGTCACACAAAGATTGCTCAAGAATGTTACCTTTGATGATACAAGGCACACAAACTTTCCTGAGTTATCTGTCTTGGGGATAATCTTTGGGAAGAGTCTTCTCTTTCTAGCTCGATTGGACTCTCTCTCTGGGTAATTCTCTTCAGGCCAAATCATGCAATCAACAGTAGGTTTTGAAAGCATCCATTCTGGAACTTGGTCTTCAAATCTTTCTTCTATGGCGGCTGAGTTGCAAAAGGACTTCTTGGATTCAGCTTCCTGTCTCTTAACAGCTTCCATAGTTTGAGTGACTTGAGTCTCTAGTTTCTTCACATGAGTGGCAACAGCATCATACTTGGTGTTGAGATTGCTGAACAAAGTGTCCATCTTCTCATACATCTCTTTAGTGTTTCTCTTCTGGCCATCCATGATCTGTTGGAGGATTCCTTCAAATCTCCCACCTTGTTGGTTTGGAGGAGCTTGATTTGGTGAAGAAGCATATGGCTCCTTGGGCGGATATGATGATCTCTGCTCATATCCTTGCCTTGGCTGAAATTGACTTCCTTGAGATTGGTAAGGAGGTCTTTGTTGTTGTGGATACCTTGGAGGATACACTTGGTCTTGAGGATTCTCCACATTGGGGTTTCTATAAGACATGTTGGGGTTTGGGCGATAGCTTGGATTGTATCCCTTGTTCCCATAGTTTCCAATGTAGTTCACATCTTCTTCATTGGCTTCATTAGAGAAATCTCCCATGCATTCTCTTGATGTCTTCATTAGCATCACTCATCCCTTCTATTGCATTGATATGCTTGAGCTGTCCCTTAAGAACTTGAGCCATCATGTTCTTGAGTTCAGTCATTTGAAAAGAATCAGGGGAGCTAGTAGTGGTGCGGCTTGAGCGGTCATAATCAGGACAGTTGTTACAATCACTAGCTGCAAGATTCTCAATAAGAACCTTAGCTTCATCAACAGTCTTGGTCATGAAGTTTCCATTGCTTGCAGTGTCCAATGAAAGCTTGTACTTGTGGTCTATGCCACGATAGAAGATGTTCCATAGGTTTCCCTCATTGAAACCATGATTAGGGCAGTCCCTAATGTACTCCTTGAATCGATCTAGCGCCTCATAGAAAGATTCATTGTTGGCTTGGCGAAAGTTGGAGATCTTGTTCCTACAGAAATTGATCTTTGCTTGGTGTAGAAGTGGTTGATGAATGCAGCCTTGTACTCATCCCAAGTGGTAATGGAGTGAGCTGGCAGAGACTTCAACCATCTTGAAGCTTTGTCGCCAAGAGAGAATGAAAAGAGCTTGCACTTAAGGTAGTCAGCAGAGACTCCATTGGATCTTGTAGTGCTGCAAATTTCTTCAAAGTTTTCTATGTGATCAAGAGGGTGCTCAGCTGGAAGTCCATTGAATTGGTTCTGTCTAACCAATGCTATGATCTGAGGCTTGATCTCATAGTCATTCCTTGCAGGTGGTGGTGGATGGATAGGGTTTCTATCCATGAAGAAAGCATCGGCAGAGTCATAGTCTCCGATTGTAGGTGCTCCAGCTTGAGGTTGTGCATTCACATCTCCAGCAGGGTCTTGTGGATTAGGAGGAGGAGGAGGTGGATCTCTTCCTTCTTCTTGAGCGCGCGCCACTTCAGCGGCGTGAGCGCGAGCTGCTTCGTCGGCCATCTCTTGGGCTTTCTGCTTCCTAAGTTGCTTCTCAAGCTTGTCTATCTCTGGATGTTCAACTAGGTTGTCCTTGTTGGACCTCCTAGTCATGCACCTGAAAAGAGTCTTGGAAACAAGTTAAATCAAAAGGAAAAACAAAAACAAAAGTAAAAATCAAAGAAAAGAAATCAAAAACTAAAAATTCAAAAGCAAAAGAAAAGTAAAACAGGAAAAGGTTCTAGACTAGATCCTAGTCGAGTTCCAAAGGTACTGCTGCAGTCCCCGGCAACGGCGCCAAAAACTTGATGCGGAGTCAGGTTTTACCAAACTCCTAGACCTCTGCAAGTGCACAGATCGCGGAAGTATGGGTATCGAACACAAGGACTGGCTATTGAGTACACTTTGTAACTATGGATTTTGGATCAAGCTAAAACAAAAGTATGATTGAGGTTGTAATGGTGAACCGAACTAGCAAGTATAACGAGGTTGTAAATCAATAAAGGAAAAGCGCTAGGTCATAGGGGCTATCGCAGAGAAGCAAGCAATGATCAATGAAACAATGATAGATTAATTGATTAGGGATATTGGGATATTAAGAACCATCTAGAACACAGATCACGAATATAAAACCATTCCACTTTCGAGGCTCCGGCTCCTTTGCTAATCTACCTAGTCGCTAAACTTTTGGTATGTCCCTAGGTGATTAGATCAAGCATTAGAATGAATAGGTTCTGATACAGTTCACTAGATATAGATAGATCAACTTTCGCAGTCTAAGAAACCTAGCTTGTCAAAGAATATGTCCGGCGAATGATACAGCACTGTCGAGGCTCAAATCAACCTAAGATCGGATTACTAGATGCGCGGTAAAGCAATCAGCATTAGTTAAGTGCACAAGACGAGACAAAGACTCTAATATAATCCCTAGCTAATCATAAAACTTAGAGTAGGAAATCGAAATATGATATACCTCTAATTTACCCACTTTTTATACTGTTTTAGCATCTGTTTTCTAATGGTTTTTGGCAGGTTTTCTATCTAAAAAGGTAGTTTTACTGTGTTTATAGTGTCTAGAGTCTAAACAGGTGAAATGATGCATTTTGGAGCAAAACCATAGGATTTGCACTTCAAGCAGCTCCATGCACAAGCACCAACTTTAAGAGGGCCCAGAAAAAGATCTACTCAATGGATTTCATCAAGACCAGTTCCCTGCGTGCTCTGATTGAGTTAACTTTCCAACGCAATTGGAATGGCCTAATTTGGATGAGTAGAAAAGGAGTTACAACCAAAAGAGTGAAGACTGCTCCAGACGCTCTATCGAGAATCAGCGCCCAACCGCGCAGTCCGGCTGGCCGAGGAACGAATGTTCCACGCTCGGCCAGAATCTCGTCCGTTCGTCTGAAGTCTCGGCCAAAGTCCAAAACCGTTCGGCCGATCGCGCAAGTCACGACCCGGGAAACTATTGCCCGCGGTCGGCCACGCCACGCCACGACCGCGCACGACCAAACCGCACGAGCCGGGAGTAACGCCTCGCGGCCGCGCAACTCATCTCGCGCACCACGCACGAACGCGCCGTCCGACCCGGGAAACTACGTCCCGCGTCCGACCGAGATTTCATCGGCCAAGTTTTCACCCGTCCGACCACAGCGGCCGACCACGCATCCGTCCGACCCCGACCGTTCCGACTCGGCCACAATACCGATTGTCCGGCCGATCGTCCCGCACGACCGTCCCAACGCCGCGGTCGACCCGAAGCCCTTTTTGAAGCCCAAACTTATGTTTTCAAGCCCGGCTTAACCCTAGCCGCCTCTAGAAAGACCTAGCACTATATATATGGATTTTTAGCCTCTTGAGAAAGAGAGCCGCCCTTGTATTTCGAATTTCCTACTTTGTTTTATTGCAATCATGTTTTCTTCATCTCTTTGTGTTTTTGCTTTGATTATGTCTGAGTAATTCACTAGTTAGGTTGT